TAAAAATAACTTTAACCATAAACCATATCCAAAAAAACAGTATATGTGGCTAATATGAAAAACACAGAACTACATACTCTCACTGAAACTAGATATTTTCAAGAGATATTACACCCATCTGAGCAGTGTACTCATGAAAGACCTCTGGTGTAATGACCCGGATCTCACTTAACGGGCCATCCCGGCCATTAGATCGATGACGTACTGTCCCCACTATACCAAAATGGGTTTTCAATATGCTTTATCCTCATTCGTACGCTCTCCAAAAAAACTTCCCAGGGAATCACCCATCACAGAATTGCTCCAAGCCAGCATGCTTAACTGTAGAGTTTCTAACGATGGACTTCCGGAAAAGAAGGTGCACCTTGTTGGTATGAGTAGTACCTATCAAATCTTTTAAACTTTTTTAGACTGGGTTTTACAATCACCCCCCGTTAGACTCGAGACATCCTCGTCGCACTTGATCCATCTGAGGATCCGTTGCCAGGCGTTAGGATTCTAGAGGTGGCTCCTACGGGTTCAAGAGATGGCACCCGCCCTATGGCGTAGCACATCTTATCATGTATTTCAATTAGTATTTTATGATATTCATTCATAAGGAATTCATAATATTCTTCTGTATTCATAATTGTTACTGGATTAGTTGAAAAATCTACTATCCATTCATTAGTATTCATTATCTGTAAAGGCTCTGATACCAATTTTTCAAAGTTGAGATGCGGAGCGTAAAATCTGGATTATTTATGACAATGGATTCCGACTGGCATACAAGTATTAAATAACTCTGATACCATTTGGAACGACTCGAGTCCCACTTAACGGGTTGTCCCGACTGTTAGATCGACGGCGTATTATCCCCACGGTACCAACATGGATCTTTTCAACATGTTTTGTCCTCACTCACATGCTCCCCAAGAAAACTTCCCAGGGAGTCACCTATCATAAAATTGCTCCAAGCCAAGTAAGTTTAATTGTGGAGTTTCTAACGATAGAATTCCGAAAAATAAGGTGCACCTTGTTGGTATGAGTAGTACTTATCAAATCTCTTACACTTTCTTGGTTTTGGGGTATAACAATCACACCCCGTTAGACTCGCGACGTCATCGTCGCGCTGATCCATCTGAGGCTCCGTTGCCAGGCGT